AAAATCTTAGAGCCCCAAGCCCTGAACCGCGTGATGGTAAAACCCCAAACCCTAAACTGTTCAAAAACCCGAAAACCTAGACGCCCTAGACCCTCAACCCTAAACCCCAGTCCCTAAGCCCTAAACCCTAGACCCTAAAACCTAAATCCTGTGCAATCTTGACACCTCAAAGCCCAAACTCTGGCGCCAAAACCCGAAACGGTGCGGTGCACGGTTGAAACCACAAACCTTCAATCATAGAACCTTCAACCGAACACGCTAAGCCTGAAAATCCCACACTGTAAACCCTGCACCCCAACCCCACGCAAAAATTCTATACAACCGCTACAATCCAGTTGAAGGGACCTACCCTAAACCCGGTAGATCCCATTTACAGGGCCTTACCTTAAACCCCCCTTGAAAATACATGAGATCATAGTGTCCGTTTTCTTGTCCGTTCTCCAAACCCTGAACCCTAATCCGCATGCCCTACACAAAACCCCCTTCAACCCCTTAAAGCCCAATAAATACCCCTAAAACCTAAACCCTAGACTCTGAGCCCTAACCCCCCCCCAACCCTAAACCCTAAACCCTCGACCCCCGCCAAATCTCTAAACGCTAAATCCCTCTAAACCCTTAACCCTACAAACACCCTTAAAGCCTGAAGTGGCGGCCTCCGGACTCGAAAGCTGCGTGAGGCTCTCGTCGGAAAAGCGCTGCATGGCCAGGACCAGCTTTTGAACCTCAGGAGTTGCTGGAAGCTAGGCTTAGGAGTATGGGCCCCTACTATGGGCCCTTAGGCGTTTTGGGGGGACATATAGGGTATATAGTGGTGATATACGGATCCCAAGGTTAAGGGACCATATGAGGGGGCCCATGGTTTCAACCTTTGATGGAAGCTACCATACTGTTTAGGGTTTAGGGTTCGGGTTTTAGGGTTTTCGGATTTAGGTTTTGAGGATTAAGGGCTTACTGTTTAGGGTTTAGGGTTTGTGGTTTTGGATTTAGGTTTTGGGGTTTTAGGGGTTTTGTGTTTAGGGTCTAGGGTTGCTGGGAGCTACTATATCACAAGATTATCTAAGGTTTAGGGCGTAGGGTGGTGGGGTTAAGAGCTCATGGCTTAGGATTTGGGAGTTTTGGGTCTTAAGGGATTTGGGAGGCTTTGAGGGTGGAGTGTTTGAGAGTTTCGGATTTGTTCGGTCTAGGGTTTAAGGTTTAGGGATCTTTTCCTTGTTCCTTATTGGATATATAGGTTGAGGGTTTAGAACTTAGGGTTTAGGGCGTCAAGTTTAAAGATAGGAGTTGAAGGTTTAGCCTTCGGGGGTTGGAAGTTTCATAGGAGGGTTTACAGGGACATCTGTAGCTATATAGGAATTTACCGGACTTGGTCTTGGAATCCAAGATTTCGGCTCAGCAAAAAAAAAGTACCGAGTCGCGAACAGTACAGACAATGGCAACCACCGTACAGCTTCGTGACCCTAAACCCTAAACCCTAACCCTAAACCCTAAACCCTAAACCGAAAACCCTGAAGCTTAACCCTAAACCCTAAATGGAGGTTCAAATGGAACAAAAGTCTGGAAAATAACCTGGAAGCGGGATGATGGGACTTGCGGGATGGACGGATAGGCACATGGGGGTTTCCCAAAATTAGGGGTACCTACTATAATGGAGAATCAAATGGAAAAGAAAATGGAAAATGAAATGGAAACTGGGCTTATATAGGGGATTATAGGGATTAGGGTTTCCCAAAATTAGG